GACGTCCAGTTTTAGTTTTTTTTTTTCTCTCGTCTGTGCCGTTAAAGAAAGCTGATGGAGAAGTCAGAGTGATACCAGCCTGAGAAAAAATGTTCCTCTTTCTAAGAAACCATCTGAGATGATGATGTTTATTAATGAGAGCATCGTGGTTGAAAGGTGCAGCGCTTTGCAAACGATGGAGGCACCTCGGATGTTTCAGATTCATATTGATCCACCATCAGAGAGTTCCTTCTGCAGCAGGACAACGAGTTCAGACGTCCAGCCGGAGTCGTAGCTGATGTAGTAAATGGGACAGATGAGGTTTCTGTAGCTCCAGTGGAATTTGTTCTAGATCACAGGGTGACGGATGCATTAAGGGTTTCAGAACGTCTTGAATTCTTAGAAGGTGACCTCGGTTTATGATTATTTTTAATCTCTGTGCTTGTCGTGCATTTTGTGTTCTTCATTTTTCACACTCGAAAACCTAAAAACAATCCTGTCGGCCTTCACAGTGAAGCGTTCTGTATCGTTATTCAGCCTCGGAATCGGTTTCCGGTTCAAACACTTGCCATTAAAACAGTCTTACAGTGTTTGAGCAAAGTCGTAGGTGAGCTGGTGTGCTGGAGCTGCAGCGGGCGCACAAAGACGCAGGGAATCCATCGATCTGCACATTCTAGATGGAAAATAATAGCGTTGCATATAAGCCATGGGTTTAAGTGATGAACAGGGCGGGATTCATCTGTTAAAGTCCAGATTTATTTACTTCTGTTAGCAGAAATGGAACGTCCTGATTAGGTTTTTACTCGTTTATAATATCCTGAAAATAAGACTTTTCATTAGTTTGTCTCTGAACGGGGAGCAGCGCCTCTTTTACAAAGTCAGCGAGTCCAGAAAACCAAACGAAGGCCGTAAAGAGGAACTGCTTTTAGTGTTTTTAGCGATCGCATCTGGGTTCACGTAGATGCTTGGAGCAGGGAGGATGAAGCTACTAAATCCCGACATCGCACGGCTCCTTTAAAGGCTGGACACTGTGACCCGAAATGCAAAGGGACAGAGTTCACTGAGGTCGTAGCTGCAGCAGAACTTTGGTGCTGAATGCTGACATCAGCTTGCTAAAATGCTCACAGTGGAAATTCAGTGGAAAGCAACTGGACTTCTCTGAAAAGAAATTCAGTTGCTTTCTACTGAAACTCAGTAAAATGTGCTGATGTTTAGCAGATTAAATGTTTACCATCCTACTTTAATGTCGTCATGTTAGCATGCTAATGCCAGCTAACGAAAACCAAACTTATTGCCATTTATCTTGAATGCAGTGTGAATGTCTTTGTCAAGTTACACGGGAATCAAATACTTGTAGATGTGTCACTAAAAACCAAAAACGCTACGGTGGCGTCAGGAAAAGTCAGAGCATCCCAAAGTTCTTTTAATCTCTGGAGAATGTTTGTACACAAATGTAACGCTAATCCACACTGAAGACAAGACGATGCAGCTAGCGTGGCGAGCTAACGGAAGCCGAAAAGCTCCGTATAGCTGTAAAATTAGGATAAAGTAAAATTTTATTCCCATAGAAATGTTTAGAATCGATGTTTAACCAAGAACAAAAGCGACATTTAGACCAGACGACTAGAGCTGATGCTTCCTTGTCTGCCTGATCTCACCACTGTGGATGGATTCATACCTGAGAAATGAACCGCTACATGAAGACCAGAGACCAATAAGAGGAATGATGGACGGCAGGATGAGGGATGGATGAGGAGAAGGCGTTAATCCGTCTGGTTAATGTCACAGCTGGCTGCTGCTTCGCCTGCGTCACTACGATCCTCCAGCACTGGCTGATGGTGGGAAACAGCTCCGTGGTGTATAATGTAGACGTAGGGCCGCTCCAGTTCTGAGGGAAACACTTGGACTTTTTGCTCCATTTATTTGATGAGTTAATGTCTTAAAGCTTAAAGCTAAACCCTCTAACTCCAAAACCTGTGTTTGAAAGAGAGGTTATTGTAAAAAAAAAAAATTAAATAAAATTACACCAAGTACCACACATGAGTAGCTATAGTTTCATCTGTCAGCAAATGAAAGCTTAAAATTGAGATTTTTTGGGGGGGAATGAACTGCAGGCAGTGTTTCTACAGAGCAAAGAAGAGGGAGACTGGGAAAATCAAACACACTGGATCAATAGAATAAATGCAGCATGGCTCAGAAACTTATACATACAGAGGAGCAAGTTGTTGGAAGATACCTTCAGCACGGTGAAGCATCTTTGTACAGCTGCTGTAAAAATTATTGTTAAGATGCCGGGTTTGTAGTGGTTGTACGGAGTGACGAGTCCTATTTTTTCCAGTATCGCTACACCTGTGGACACCTGTGTTGTTTCCATACACGTGCAGGACTTTATATAGACGTGAAAAATGAACCCACCGTCAAAAAAATGTGACAGGAGCCAAAAAAAAAACGTCCAGAAACAGCTCTGGATTTAGAGTTTACTTAAAGATCACAATTTGAAGCATGTTTTGTGAACTCTTTGGTAGTAAATTATTGTGAGTTTTATATAACATGTGGACAATTTTAATATCTGTCTCGTAGAAGAACTTGGATTTCCTAGAGGTTTTCATCTACTGAACTCAGATCCTGCTCAGTTGTAGTTCTGCAGATACTTTTTGTACCATAAGCATTTTATTGGTGTCGCTCGGTTTAATCACAAGTATCAGTACCACACTATCAAAACTGGAGATGCAACAGAAAACAAAAATTTGTACCAAGTTGTTCCCAGTCGAGGCAGACGTACGTTGTCATCGCTGTTTGTTTGTGTTTGTTTGAAAGCAGGATTGTGTAAAAACCACCAGGCGTCAAAACAGATCAGCGTTCAAACTCTGACTTCGCTCCTTCACAAAGTCACAGCAGCAACAAAACTGTGTTTTGCTGCATGACTGTTAAAGTTCTCCAACTGCAATCTGTTACACAACATTTAAAAATGTTTTATTACAAGTAAAAAGTTCAGGTTTTGCTTTAGCACAAGTACAAAATGAACTGAAAGTACTCTGTAGGTAGCTTAAAGTGTATCAGAGTACCGTTGTTCTGTTAATCTTACAAACACTAATTCAGTTGTAAATCTGTGAATTATGTTATTTATCGATTGTATGTTTTGTGTGTAGACGTTTATCTTTAAAGTAACTTTGGGGTATAAAGTAGTGTAGAACAAAAGTAAAGTACTTCATGAAGTACAGCAGCTGAGCCTTTTATTATCAATCTTTCATACTGTTGCTGCTGTAAGTTGTTAAAAGCTCATTTTATTTCCCATTAAAGATACTGAAATATCTATAAAAATATATGTAAAACTTTACTAATCCCATCTTTTTTTGGTGTTGTTTCACTCTTTTGCTCGGTTAAAGGCTTTTATAATTAAAAGTTGTAACACTACACTGTGTAAAAAAGCAAAAGTCCAGACTTTCCTTTCTTAGAAGTACAAAATATAGATATTAATCTATAAGGATGCGAGTTGTACGTAAAAGCTTCATTTATAAAGTAACTGCAGTTGACATGTAGTGAAGTAAAAGTGTAAAGTAATATAAAATGGAAGTATATCGAGTTATTGTGCATAATTCTTCCTCATTAGTGAGTTTGAGTTGTTTCTGGTGCAAGATCCTGTATGAAATGTTTGTAAAACTTTATTGATCCCAAAGATAAACGGTCTAAAAACCTTCGATTCTTAATGTTGTTGTGTTAAAACATGAAATCTGTTAAATGCACATTCATGACAAGTCCGATTCTGATTGTCCACTGACATTTTATTGAAAAAAGAACAATATAATATCATGTACAATAATAATAATAATAATATTAATACAAAAAATCTGTACATTCCGTGGTTTTGCAGTACATTTGGAAGACTGATACAAAAGAACTGCAACAGGGAGGGAGGTATTTACACATGTAGGATCTATGGAGCCAGGCGGCTTTACGTCTGCGTGGTCTTTATTTACCTTCAAACAAAAGATACAGAATATAAAGTCGTATTGATGCAAACTCTTGTGCCTTCATATGCCGGGTTACAGTACATTTGGCTTTTTGAAATCTTACATTCTCAGGAAGAAAAACAAAAAAAACAAAAGCAGAGAATGAAAACGTGGCTTCAGTTTAACGTCTGATATATGTGTTTAAAACCTTTCAGGCAGGTTCGGCTTTAGAAATCCATGTTTGGTTCAAGCTGATGTGAGTGTTTCAGTCAGCAAACGCTACAGAAGTTGTGATTTCTGTTTGCTTCGGTTGCGTCTTTGAGCGTCCACATTAAGGCTTGATGAAGTGGCTCGAGATAAAAATGATCAAAAAAAGAAAAGAAGAAGAAAGAGAAACTGTACACACGTTCTTGAAAAACAAACCTTATTAAAACTCCCTAAACGTTCTACTTCTCTGTACCAAATCTAATCAGGTGTTGTTTTTAAGAAACACATAACTATGATAATAATACTCTTTGGCATTTTTTATCAACCGTAAAAAAAAAAGAAAAAAACAACAAAAGAAAAGAAGGAGGAGCAACATCATAGCAGCACTTTTAAGAACATTCAGATCGCCTGTTTTGGACGTTATCGGCACGTTAAATATTTCTTATTACCACTGACCTCTCCTTTAAATATATGAATCAGCAGGGTGCTTGTAGTAGGTTCAGCAGAAACCACCTGGTTTATTGGTGAAACTATGACTTTGCACTTTTACACAGGAACCAAAGACTTTCAGTTTGAGTGTCAGACCACGAATATAGTTTCATTTTGACTTCATAGACTCCGAGTCTAAGTTCACTTTCAGTCGCTGTTGGGTTGGCCTGCAAATAATCATTATTATTGTATTTTATTTATTAATTGATGAGTTGTTTGGTTTTTAAATTGGTCCAAGATGACAAATGTCTTGTCCATGACCCAAAGAGATTCAGTTTACTGTCACAGAGGTGGAACAAAACCAGAGAATATTCACATTTAACAAGCTGGAATCAAAGAATTTAGCTTTTTATTTTTTATTTTTTGCTTCAAAAATGTCTCAAATTAACTGTCAATTATCAAAATAGTTGGATTAGTTGACAATTAGTCATTGCAGTTCTACTGAGCCCACTGGAAAATGGAGGACGTCCCATAGGTAAAGGAGTGACGATAACACGAGTTTAACGGGCTGATAACGTCCAAATCAGGCGCTCAGATTCTCATATCACCCCGGTCTCGGTTTAAATTAGTGATTTCTGTCAGTTTGATGTCGTTAATACTACCCTGCTCCGACCTCTCGACCTGAGCAGGCATGTTTCTATCAGTCTGACCAGCTCTGAACAGTCTTTTAGATCAATTAGAGGATAAAGCTCAGAGAATCAGTGCTGTCGAGGCAAAGTAAAGTTTCTCTATCGGTTATTGCATACAGAAGTGTCAGTCAGCGATGTCTGCAGTGAGACCAGCTCATGAACAAATACTCTACTTGTACCTTCTTTGTTCCAGACACCTGCGTTCTTTTACTCTTTGGTTCTATGTGAAAAATGAAGCATCTTTAAGGCTTTTTCCACTGTTTTCTAGCAGCACTACAAAAGCATCTTGTTCCGGCTGGACAGAGAAACTGAGACATGCCTGCAGTTTTCAAGTCAAATCTCAACAACAACCTCCTTCCTCTTTGCAGTCGTCAGACACTGAGCACACATTCATGGGGACTTCAAGGAGAATTCTTTCTGCAAATATGCACGTGGTTCATAGTGCTGTGTTTTGTCATATTGTATGTAGTCAAAGTTCAAGCAGACTCGTACATACAAAGTCTTAAACCTCGCCGCTTCCCACAGCAGTACCGTTCGGCTTGTCCTCTGCCCGAGGCCCAGCTCGGCTCGCTGAGCCTCTCAGAGCAGAGAGGTGATTCTTAGAAAATCTCTCAACGTGAGGTCTGAGGTCTCAACAGTCATATTTCTGACTCTCGTCTCAGCGGCCGAGGCTCCAGCGGCACCGTGGCCTGGCTGTGCTCCGTCTCCGAGATGTTGTCCGTCTGGGTGCCGTCGGGCCCAACGCTGCCCCCGTTCCCCTCGTCCGTGTCCTCTTTGTTCTCCAGTGCCATCTCGTTTTCGTAGCAGAAGGAGTTGGAGTTGGAGAGGATGTATTTTTTCTCTGCGAGGTCTCTGGCGCTGCACAGAGGAGTGCTGGGAACCTCGTATGTCTTATGGAAGCGGGAGTAGTCCACCTTGTAGTAGTTCTTCTCCTCAAAGAGCACGGGCTCGAACCGGTGGCCCCAGAGGATCTCGCTGGCGACGTAGGAGCTGCGGCACTGCGTGGTCATCGCCGTCGCCTCCACCATGCCCTCCAGGATGACCACGATTTCAAACTCTGAGCTCTCCAGGTCCTGTTTGCTCATGTCATAGAAAGGACTGTCCTCGTCGATCTCGTGGACAATGGTGATCGGGGAGACGAGGAAGATGCGGTCGACTCCGCTGTCGAAGCCCACGTCGATGTCCATCTGGTCGAGGGGAATGTACTCCCCCTCCGCCGTCGTTCTGGATTTCAGAAGCTGAGCTCGTACGTGCGCCTCCACCAGGTGGCTCTTCCTTAAATTACCAACGCGCCACATCAGGCAGAGCTTGTTGTCCCTCATGGCCACTGTGGCGTTGTGGCTGAAAACCAGAGTTTCATTCCTCTTCTTGGGCTTCGCCATTTTCGCCATGACAGCACCAATGATGAAGGCATCGATGATGCAGCCGACGATGCTTTGGAAAACCACCATGAAGACGGCGACGGGGCACTCGTCTGTCACGTATCTGTAGCCGTAACCGATGGTAGTTTGAGTCTCAATGGAGAAGAGGAAGGCAGCGGTGAAGCTGCTGACGTTGGAGACGCACTTCGGGGCGTCGTTCTCTAAATCCCCGTGAAAGATGGCCACCAGCCAGAAGACGCAGCCGAAGAACAGCCAGGACAGCAGGAAGGCGAGGCAGAAGATGATGAACATCCACCTCCAGCGGATGTCCACGCACGTCGTGAAGATGTCGGCCAGGTACCGCTGACCCTTCTCGCTCACGTTGACAAACTGCACGTTGCAGTGACCGTCCTTCTTTACGAATCTGCTCTGCGGCTGGTGCCTTGTGTGCACTTTGCCCTTGCCGTTGCCGTAGCCGTTGGGTACTGCCATAGTGGCAAGCTTCATGCCGTCCTCCTCTGATGACACAATGCTGTAGCGGCTGGCTCGCACGCTTCCCATCACCTCAGTCTGGGAGGGCTGTGCTGCTTCTGCTGCGGAAAACAGTCCAAGTTTCTGGAAGAAGCGTTGGAGAAACAGTTTTGAAACACTTTCGGGGACCAACTTCGAGAGGAAACGGTGACAAAGTGAGGCGGGCCGGAGGGACGCCTCTTCAGACGAGTGCAACAAGAGGAGGGCGAAGCTTTCACTCCTCTTTCATCAGGCGGCTGGACCTCATCAACGTCATCTGCTGCAAGAAAACAGAAACAGAACAAGTCTGTTAGAGAAAGCAGCTTCCACATAAATCACACAACAATAACTGAGCCGAATCAAAAACTTCCCCAGTGTTCAGTCAGCTGTGCGTGCAGCCTGAGAAAAACCATCAGAACTTTATACCCAGAATCAGAGCAGCTCGTCCGCCTCTGCCAACAACATTTCATCCAGTTATGACAAACAACAACAGTGATATTTAACCCCCATCTAACATTTCAGCTCTCACTGAGAGAGGCCACGCTGTAATTGCTCTCAGGTCCCGTTATTGGACGTTTTCAAAGTTGACTTGTTTTCTTTGGCTGCACTGCAGTGACCTGATCATTTCTAGCTGGATTGTGGGTTACAGCGTTTCTATGGGATCTCATGGGCCGCTGGTTTTGCACCACTGATGGATTATGTAAACAGTTGACACTGAGAAAGCTTAGCGTAGACGTGCAGGTCATTTCCCTCGCTGTCAAATGCACGGAAAGTTATGATTTGAACTGAAGCTTCAGTGATGAATCGATTAGTTGTCAACCTTTAAGTTGTGATTTTGATAATCAGTTTAAGTCACTTCTTATGGAAAAAAAGTCTAAATTCTCTGATTCCAGTTTCTGAAATGTTCAAATGTTCTTTCCTCCTCTGACAGTAAACTGAAAATCTTTGAACAAAACCAGACGTGTGACATCTCTGACTTTAGGAAACACTAATTGACAGTTTTTACTGTTTTCAGAGCAAACATCTAATCAGTTTATACAACATTCATGAGCTGCAGCCCACGTTTAGTGCTACTCAGAGGTGCGTCATTAATGGACTGCTTCACGTTTTGCTTTTCTTAATCAAGAAAAGCAGAAGATGTTTTACATGTGCAGCTATTGTTACGTTATCCACCGCGTCACAAAGATTTTAAGGAGTTTTATCAGCCGTCTGCATCAACAACTTTCCTTTCGACTTTCATCCTTGCGGAGTTGAAGCAGGTAAAAGTGACATCATGTGAGGCTCAGCGTTTGTGCTGTTATCCTACAGAATCTTTAGGGGAAAGTGTGAGCTTCGTGTTTGGATTTGCAGATGAGATGCACAGCTTGTTGACTCTCACAAAGGCCTCGGGGACTCCGGCTCGCTGCTGCAATAATGGCCGCCCCGCGAGGATTCTCCCTGCACAGCTCAAACACCTCTCATTAGTTTCGGCTGTCCTGGCAACAAAGTGTAAAGCGACCAGCGTTGTGTTATTTTCTTTTTGTGTCAGGATGGATTTCTATTTGTGGCACGAGGGTTAAAGATGAGAAGGAGGCTGGGAGCAAAAACCAGAGAGTTCTCCAGGCCTGGGACGGCCACCCAGTATCACTTTAGACGCAGTAGATGCAGACACGGCTGAGTCATAATGTAGTTTCACACCTTCACAATGTAAAACCGGCTGATGCAACTTGTCTGCAGGGTCTTCTGAACATGAAGTGGCACCTTAGGATCAAGTTCAGCCACTACCACATGCCCTGCACTCTTAACAAAACCTTCCTCAGAGGTTTGCCGGCATGTAAATATATATAACTAGGATCTGTAAACATTACAGCAGGGTTTATTCATTTTCTTAAGATTCATTTTGAGCAGCAAAATCTAAACTTTTGCTTTCAAAATGAGCAGAAAAAAGGCAGAAAAACCAACAAAATGGCCACAAAGCCCAATAATAATCATCAATAGTCACTCTGTGGTATTAATAGTGTTGCTACTACACTTGCACAGTGTTTTAAACGGTGTAACTGAAGCCTGTCTGACTGTACAGAGACGCACAGTGCTGCCCGAAGAATGCACCAAATGCCAGCGACAAATGTTAACAGGTGCGGGGGGGAACAACGGCTTCTGATGCAATCATCCGCACGCATACACACCCGCACACGGACACACGCACGCTCAGCTCCCTGCCCAGGCTCATCAGAGGGCAAAACTCATCTTAAAACGCAAAAAGAAGAAAGTGAAGCGGGAGCTCATTGAGTGAAAGTTTTCTGGCGGTTCGTGTGACACGAGTCGTGCGTAAAAGTCAGGAAGTCGGCGCGTCATGGAGAACCAAAAATTCGGGCCACGAGAGTTTAATAAGAGCAGCTGCTGGAGTGCAAAGCAGAGTTCAGTGAAAGAACATAAAAGGGATGTTTCTCTACCTGTTGCTCATCTGTGCGCCGGTTTGGAAGCAGCTCGCTGAAATATAATCCAGGCGTCTCTTTTTGTTTTGGCCTCCGTTTATCCTTCAGAGTCGCTGCCGTGCGCTTGTTATTTATTTTGGCATTAACAAGATGGAGTGCGAAACTCCCGTCATGTCTCTGGAGGACCGGTCCCGGTAATGTGCTTCGCACTGAGTTCCCCCAAAGCGTTTTAAACAAGCACGGCCCCTCCTCCGCTCGCAGCCCGCCAATGGGACCGCGGCGGCCAGCGCACACACACTGCGGAACGGGCGCAATTACGCTGCGCCTCGGTCCAATTGTGCATGTTTGAGATGCGAACGCGGAGTAGTGGAGAACAATTTGTCGCTAATTGGCTGAGGACACGTTAAATCTCACTGAGGGGTTAATAAGACAGAGAAGAGAGGCGGTGAAAACTGAAACATGAGCCACAAATAACGTCAGAAAGCATCAGTTTAGGCTCATCTATAATAATACATGCATGAAAGTGGGTCCAGCTCTGTGAAAAAGTCGTTTTTATCAACATGTGACCAAAAAGCTTCAACTTGTGACACCTTAGAGCTCAATCAGGGGTTAATAGAAAAGACAGTAGATGTGTTAAAACTGACATATGAAACCAGTAAATATCAGAAAATCATCAATTAAAGTTAAATCTAGATAATAATACGACCATGTAATATGTTTATCAGAAGCACATGGCTGACAGAAATCCACCAGACTTGGTCCAGCTCTGCAAAAAACAGTTCAACACCAGAAAGTTTTTACCACAAGGAGACAAATGAGCTGCAACTTTGAACTCTGGTGACACAGCAACATGAGGGTTCGTAGAAATGACAGAAGAGCTGTTAAAGCCTGACTTATGGGCCAAAATAACATCAGAAAGGCATTTAATCTAGTTTTACTGCTTCCTCTGGAGAATATTACTAATATTACATAAATATTGAATTGATAAAATGAGAGAAAGTGAAATTTTAACCAAAATGTGTGTCAGCAAAGCGTTGATTTAGGTTAATACTTAAATATAGAAACGTTATTACCATGTAATATACTTATAACAAGCATATGGATGAGAAAAGATTTAATGTGACACATTAAATCTTAATCAGAGGTCAATAAAATGAGAGAAGAGGAGCTGAAGACTGAAATATTAGCCAGAGTAAAACACCAGAAAGGCATCTGTCAGGTTAATAGTTAAATCTAGATATCATCATTACAATATATATAATCAACATACAGATGAAAACAAATGCATAAAAAGTGCAAAAAAGTTCACATTTCCAGAAAGTTTTTCAACAAACTACAACTTTGAACTCTGGTGACACGTTCAGTCTCCATCAAAAGTTACTAAAATAAGAGTAAAAAACAGAAATATGAGCTGAAATAACCACCAGAAAAGCATCAGTTTAGGTTAAAGCTAAATCTAGACACCGTTAGTAACACATAACGTGCTTAAAACAAACATACAGATGAAAAAAAAATGCATTAAAACTGCAAAACAGTTGAAATCACCTTCTGTTTTCACCACAGGGAGACAAACTATAACTGTTGTCTCTGCTTAAATCAGAATCAGAGGTGAATAAGATGGAAGTAGAGGAGTTAAAACTGAAAAATGAACCAAAAATAATGACCAGAAAAGCATCAGTTTAGTTTAATACGGAAAAAAAATTGCATGAAAGGTGCAAATAAGTTCAAAGTTTTCATCAAAAGAAAACAAACAAGCCACAGCTTTGGACGCCACACAGAAGAGAATCAGTTTTTTTTCTCCTCCAGAGATCCAGTGAAAGTGATTAAAGTGTTGCAGAGACTGTGGCTCGCTGCCTTTCTCCCACCTGCTCTCTCAACCCGACCGCCTGTCATCCTCATTTTGGTGATATTCGTTGTTTTCATAGATCTTATTTTTTAATGTGGGTATGGAAAATGTGTTCTGTCGGAAAGAATGACTCACTCAATAAAGGCCTACATGCCTGTATTATGATATGACTGTCTTTCTCCACTGAGCTATCAAGTTGCTTCGGATGTTTAGACTATGCATCTGTTGCTCTATAATTTTAGGTCAGGCTGCAGCCGTGTTGTCTTAAAGCCATCGACTAAATCATTCTTCCTGCTCGCTAATTCATGATAAACATGAACCCGCGGCTGCATGTTTTTCACTAAAAGCCCCCCTTTGAACCGCTGCTTTTTTTCCCCCTGTGAGGCTTATTTTTAGTGTCGGTTATTTATAGCAGCACGTATATTTAGCCCGAACCACCTGTGTCGGTGAACTGTGCATGTTGTGTGTGTTTGCTTTCCATGCCCAATTTCCATCAATAAAGAGAGCGACGCATGCAGCGGGCCAGTGCTGCTGCTGGACCACAAGGTGGAGAGCTGGAGGCTGGAAATAGCTCACACAAACACACAGCGAGGCCGACCTGTTCATGTGTCGCTGCAGCAGCATCTAGAGGATTCAGAGGAAACATGTAAACACGACAACGACACAACGAATGAATGAGCAGCAGAGATCTTCTGTTTGGCTGCACCGCGGAGCAGGTTTGACATCTCTGGGCTTTTATTGTGTACAGAACCTACAAGCCCAGTCAGAGATGATGAACATCACGGCGGTGGTCGTCGGCTTTCGTCCTCAACCAGGTTTTCTTCTTCAGACTTTCTTCTTGTTTAGATGTTTATGGCGTCATCGACTCTGCACAAAATGGACCAATCGTGTACTTCAGAGAGCTGTGAAGAATGTAAAACTTTATTATAGTCAAAAGTGCAGCAAGTGGCGCTACAGAGGACGGCTGCTGCAGAGCTAGTAATCCTGTAAAGCACATATTTATGTCCCCACAGCTGCACATTAGAGCTCTGAATCTTTTAACACTCAGACATGATGCTCTACATTTAGGTCGAGCCCATAATAAAGGCTTTAGCTATTTGAAAGTAATGTTTGAATATTCTCAGTAGTGTCCTCTTAGCTGCAGAACCAGCAGGACAAACTGACTGAGCAGCAAATCTTTGTGCATAAAGTGGTACATACAGCAGGCGTTTAACAGCTTAACAGGTTTGCTTATAGCACCTCTGAATCTAAACTGCTCACAGAAAATCGTATCGGTGGAAGGCTGGAGCTTCTTAGGGCTGATTTAAATCTGTGACTCTGAACAGAACTTCCTCTAGATGGTGACGATCCAGCAGGTTAAAGGAGCTTTGTGACACCGAAAACTCCGACTTTAGGCTCAACATAGGCAATAATCTCACCTCCGTCCATCTGTTGTGTTTGTTGTGTTCCTCCTTAGAAAACATTTTGTGGAGCTCAGCAGATGTTTACAGACGGATGCTCACAGTCGGTGCTGGACAGTAAATTGATTTCAATTCAAAGTTTGAAACAGTAGAATTAACAAATTTCAGGATGTGTGCGGTGTGGCTGGTAAATGATGACACGACTGGTGTAATTTAATGTTCAGAGGTCGTTATGCTGCTCGTTAGTCAAAGCACGCTCGCCTTCACGCCGTCGTTTATAAACCCATACTTAATATTTAACCCTCCAAAACCCCACCATGGGTTTGGAAGTCTAGTTATCTTATAGATATCCTCAGAATCATTTATTACGGCCAGAAATGGTACAAACAGAGAGAATCATTAGTTTTCTAACTTTCAGACAGTACTTGAGCTCTAATCTGAAAGCCGAACCACATCTGGGCATAACATTGTAATATTGCTTAAATATGATTTCATTTTATTATTATGTCTAGTTTCAATATTCACCTAAAATAATGCACCAGATTATGTAGAAATAACCCAAAGATTCTGAGCTACTTAGTCCTTGAAAACAAGTATTAACTATTTTTGGTTTACCTGTAGAATTACACTTATTTTTAAACTGTATTTAAAAAAGGTAATTTTGTAAATATTTATTGTTTTTTGAAAGTAAAATTAGTAAAATTCCACAAGAAAACTATTAATTTGACATAAGTTTGACATGCTGACCTTTTAAAAAATAAATACATAAAATTATATACATACATACATATATATATATATAAAATTAATTCACATTAACCATAAAGAACAGACCAAAATGTCCACATCAAACATGTGTAGAGTGATTTTGTTCTTTTACAATGTGTTACCTTGAAACTGCTCCGTTTTCCTGTATTTAAATTAGCTAAAAATATGAATATTTTACAGATACTTGCTGTTATTTTTGCAGTTTTTACATGTTTTGACTGTTAAAATATTTCACCATTTTTATTTTATTTTTTCCAGTTCTTCGGTTTTTTTAATGGAGTTGTTTTACAGGGTGTCCTCCTGTCGGCCTCTGCTCACTGCAGCAGCTCAGTTGATGAACTTTGAATAAAGATAGAAGTATTATTTTGGTTAAACCAGCTGTTTGACACTCGTGCTAACGCTAAACTAGCATATTAAGCAGCAGCTGTTGGTAGGGAAGCTCTGTGACAAAACATTTTAGAGGTAAATAAATGATCTATGTCCTGCACTGACAAAGGTGCTGTGACAGTATTTGTGGACGTCTGTTCCTGTGGATCAGCGACGTGGACTGAAGTGTGTTTTGTGACTGATCATGTGTTGTTGTTCTGGAGTCTAAAGAGGAAACTGTGGCTGTAAAAATCCTGCTGTGGCTTCTGAAGCCTCGGTCACAACCGGCCTGACTGCGTCCAAGCTACGTGCAGAATCACACGTGTCACACAAGTCCGTCTTGGGAAATTTGTAGGTCGCAGACAGCCAGTAAGCACGTACGGAGGATTTTAGACATGTCCAACAAATTCTACGAATTCTCTGTGAACAGCGACGTCACAAGTGTAACTTGCTTCCCTCGCGAGGAGTTTGCAATTTTTAAGGTACCATGGAAAGAGAATCCATGGTCTAAGACGCAATGATGGAGCAACTGGCCCTTGTCTGGTAAGTCTGGTATACACACAATTCAAGAACAATATCAAACACACTGCGGGCGTCCATCATGTCAGGAGTATAAAAGGCCTGCTCATGGTGCACGCTCACGTTCAGCCAGTGATCCTCTCCTCTCTTTGTCCTCTGCATCATTACCTGGGGATAAGAAATAGAACTGAGTGTTATGCTAACTAACGTTAAATCTCAACAGTGGTGGTAAAACGATCAGCCTCATAAAGACTAATCAAAAAACTCTGAAGAGAAAATAAAAATAAGGAAAAAAACTGTAAGCTGCTACGTGTGATGCCATAAGACTCACAGATCTCTCCACATACTGCTTATACACAATGTAAATGTAGACAATTTAAAAAGAAATAACTGTAGTGAAGCAAGCAACGCTGCATTAGTGCTTCAAACAAACAGTGGATTTACCATATTATGATTAGCTTTGTAGATCTACCTTTACAAACAAGAGCTCATTTTGATGTCTGAAGCAGCGATTTTCTACAAATCCATGAGAAAAGATCAGAGACTGGAGTCACTTTGACTCTGACTTCACTGTTTCTGAGCTGAGTGTCCTCTAGTTATCACCTAGGAGTTAGTAAAGTTACTGACTGTCCAGCCTGATACACAGACACACACACACAGCACAGAGCTCACACTATATTACGACATAACGTCAATGTTTTTGAATAGAGAATATGTGTAAAAAAATATATGAAACTCTGTGTTGCAGGCAGTCCGTGTCACCGTTGGAGGAGCGGGTCGGTCACTGGAGATGCTGCTGGCCGGTATCAGCTGGAAGTCAGAACCGGGTGACCCTGCAGACGAGCTGTCACCGCCAAGCTGTCAGGATCTGTGTGTGTGCGCTACACAAAACATGAAACCATGTTTATTTTCATCGCCATTTGTTATAAAGTTTTAACTTGTGTCCTGAAATTAAATTGGTATCGTCCCGGATCTATTTTTCTATCGATGGGAAGCTCAAACCCTGTCAGTATGTTAACAGAAATTACAAGACAGCATGTCACCTGATCACCGAAGTGTCCCTCCCTGTTCTTTTTGATCTTTTTTTTTTTTTTATGTCATCACTCGCACATGAGGCAAGTGTGACTTACTTTCGCCATTCTCTTCCTAAGTGGTGTGAGTGTGTGCCACGTACGCAGGTGACAAGACAAACTCAAGACGTGAGCACAGCAGTCACACGTTGCAATTAGCGTCCCTACTTGAACGGACATCTCACGTCGGCCCTGCCACTCGCCAGGCAGACTTGCTTCTGTCTTGTGCCTTTCTGACGGAGCCCTTGCAGCCTTTCCTCTACCTCCATGACCTTTACGACCTCCACGACACCTCAAAATTCTCAGAGGACGTACAATCCCAGAAGTCGTGCGTCCGGTTGTGACCGAAGCTTAACCGTGGTTTGGAGTTTAGCTTCTTTTCGTACTTCCAGGTATCGACCTCGATGCTTTTCTCTTCCTGCAGCTACTGTACAGGACAAGCGACGTGTTCATGGCAGAGTTAACTTCATGCTGTTATGACCTTCATATTTCACCTTTAACCCTTCATTACATCATGTATATTCCACACACAGTTCATCAGCCTCATTTCAGGTGTTGTCATGTAAAGTTGCTTTTTCTTTCATGTCTCTGTACTGCTTCTGTCTTTGTGCTGCTGCAGCATTTATCTTCTAAAAGCTAGATTTGGTGTTGTTTGGTGATTAGTTCAAAGGCAGGAAAAAGACAAACCAGAGGGGAATTTTAAACTCGCAGATCAAACTAAGAGCGTCATTGTCGTGATCTGTTGCCTGAGCGGAGCCTGAGTAACATCACGGGCTGTGGATTGATCTGTTTTGGACAGATGACAGAAAGAAAACGTGTTTTAATGGGATTACACAGCAGCACAAAGCAGCGTCTGCTTGTTTTTGTCCGTCTGGCCGCTCGACATTAAAGATCAGAGCTTCAGACAGGAAACGTGATCGTCGGTGAGAGTGAAGATACAAACCACACATTTAAACGTCAACTTTATTGAAATTCTGGACACTGGTATCGACTTAAAAGCAGTATCGTTATCATATTTTAGAAAAACAGTGGGTCCGTGTGTGCCAACAGACACTCATAATGTAAAAATCAAACACGCTTTCTCACAAATCCGTCATTTCTGTGTGAGACGGTTTGTTAAAAATGTCTGTTTGAAATACTAAACAAGAGATTCCACCACCACAAACATAAAGAAAACCCTCTCCGTGTGTTTCACATAACCTACGATGACTTGACCCATAATACGGGACATTTATTTACTATCAGCACTGACTAGACTTTAAACTTTACATTACAAACGTGACCTCTGGAGTCACAGTCAGGTAACAACAAAGCGTAGTAGATTTAAAACGAGTCCACCACAAGGTCCAGGAGTTCTGGAGTGTATCACATGATGCAGGTTCAGGTGTTTAAATCTCCATTTTTAAGCACTTTGCGCCTCCCTTTTAGAGTGTATTCACATGAACAAGCACACCAAAATATGATTGCCGTTTAAAGATGTCAGAAAAACGTTTTTAGCTTCTCATAGAGTGACACCAAACCCACATCAGTCAACAGTGTTCACTAATCAGGTTCGTGTTGTGTTTGTTGCACCCCACTGCTGGTTTGTGGTCGAGCGTGGACGGACAGACGAGGCTCCTCCAGCGTTTTGGTTTCTCAGCTTCAGGGTCTGACGCTCAACGAACGAAAGACTTTGTCGTGTCCCTGCTTTGGTTCTGCTCTAAAACGATCTTCTCATCAGCAGCATCAGTTCGTCTTCATCGGCAGAGTTGTTGTCATCCTTTACCGAGCTGTCTGGCTGTGGTTTTGGTTATGAAATGAAAAATCCGACACAAGATCAAACTTAAAATGCTGTTATGTTTTGAAACCCACAACTTCAGGAGCTGTAATAGGAATAAATGAGGGTCTCTTCACCTCATGTCATCAACATTTTTAATTACCGCTCGACCATTTCTAATTTTCAGAAATTTTAACAGCATAAAATATGAATATTTATAAAGACCTGAGCCTGAGTGGGACTAACTATTTACTTCAGTATCAACAGAGATATTATTTTTAATATCCATAGTTTATAATAATAAAGAAATTGTTTCAGCAAATTAAAGATGGTGGAGCAGCAGACCCCTGATGATCGGAAATAACCCATCAGTGCTTTTGTCAAGCCTACAAACGTTGAGTATTAAAAACTAAAACAGACATGATTTGGTAACAAATGGCATTAATAAGCTCAAAACTTTCATCACTCTCACAGTAAATGAGATTCATTATTGTCCTCGATGTTTCTCCTTAACAGAGGTCTCTCTGAAGAAATGGCGAGTGTATTTCCGAAAAATCTCAACCCTGATGGCTCTGCTTTTACATTTCTGCCCTCGTGGGGTCATTCGGTAAAGTCAAAGCATCTTGACCGGCTGCTTGACATGTTGAAGCAGTTGGTTCGAGGCGGCCGTCGCTCACAAGTTCAACCATCACTGTTGGAGGTTTCAGAAGGTTTTCCTCGTTTTTTTGCCGCTCTGGGCATGGAGAGGGTCGTCGGGAACATCTGGGTGAAAGTCGGGGCGAATGTCGCGGCGAATGTCGAGGGGATGGCCGCAGCTGCTTCTTGAGTTCATACTCCTCAGCGCTGACCTCAGGAACCAGCACCTTAGCAGTGTGATTGAACAATGTGTAATCCACCCGGTAGTTCCTCCTGGTGACCCGGATCATCTCCTGGAACAGCTGACCCCACAGGATCTCAGCTGGAGTGTACGAGGTTCGGGTCTGATGCAGCATCCCTGTGGTGTCATCGGTGTAGGTGAAAGACACCACCAGCTCGAAGTCGGCTTTCCGCAGATCCACCAGACTCATCTTGTACAGCGGGCTGCTGGGTTCGATCCTGTGGAAGATGGTGGTAGGTGTGACCAGGACCAGGTCCCTCTGCTGGATGACCAGGTCCTCGTAAGTGACGTCGACCTTCCCGGTGGCGTGCATTGTGGAGCGAACCATCTGAGCGTGAGCCGTCCCCTCCACCAGGTGGTTCCTCCGGAAATCCCCGACCCTCCAGGAGAGGCAAAGGTAACCGTCATGAAGGTTGATGACGGCACAGTTGCTGAAGCCCACCGTCTGCGCCCTCTTTCTGGCCGAAGCCATTTTGGCCACAACGATTCCAATGACGAAGGTGTCAATGAAGCAGCTCATGACGTCCTGGATGGTGACGATGATGATGGCGATCATGCAGTTCTCGGACATCCCTCTGAAACCGTAGCCGATGGTGGTTTGAGTTTCGAGTGAGAAGAGGAAAGCAGCGGTGAAGCTGCGCACCTCGTAGACGCAAGGATCGTTGGTGTGATCTCTGACGTCTCCGTTCGCGAGGGCGATGACCCAGAAGAGGATGCCGAAGAAGAGCCAGGACAGGATGTACGACAAGGCAAAGATCAGGAACATCACCCTCCACCTGATCTCCACCAGGGTCGTGAAGATGTCGGTCACAAACAGCAGCCACTCCTCGGGAACGTGGCGGAAGACGACGTTACAGTTGCCTTCTTTACGGACGTAGCGGTATTTCTTCGCTTGAGGTCCATTTTCAGTCTTCACACTGAGGTCATCAGTGGGACTCACGGACGTATACTGTTTATGCATCTTCCAGAGTCTGTAGGGAACATAGGAAAGAATGTTTTACCGAGTGACGTGGTAAATATCCAACGGTTCGCACTTTTAGTCTTTATGTTAAAACAAATGTGTAGAACCTGTCAATGAGTCTTGTCATGGGAAGTTTTTAGATCCTGGCTTTAAAGTGGCTTTAAAGTCCCTCTGGTCATTGATTAATCCCCTTGAAACTCATATCCGCATATCCAAAAAAACAAAAAAAAACAGGAGATGACCAGTTCTGTGTTGGCAAACAGAGAGCATTGTTGGGGGTTTAGCTAGTAAAGACTTAGCAGCGCAAATGAAGGCAGAACAAAATGAGATTCGTACTAATATGTGACCAAATATACAAGTCTGCTTCAAATGTAGGCCTTTTGCTTTTTGCACTTGAGCTAAATACAGGCTCCAATCACTACTTGAGGAAATGGGGTCATTTTCAATCTTAGCTTCTAGAGTTGTCTTTTGGTTTCTATTTTCCTGTGGAACTAACTGTGTGTAATCCCTAATCAGTGTCCCAAATCGTCGCCTTCCTGACATTTGTCTGTTCAGACTGAGCGGTTCTTGTTTTGTTGTCCAACTGACCCGAAACTTTGTCTGAGAGCAGGTCATTAGAGTTAATGCAGGTCATTGCAGTCGGAGCAGACAGTCGACCCTGAAGACCAAACAGCTACTGAAACCTGTCTGACGGGATGTAGAAGCCCACAAACGTGACACAGAAATCCAGATTTTAGTCCTGAATAGAATTCTGCACCTGAAGCACTGATTTTGCCTGTTACTGTTGATACCTTGAAGCAGAATGAAGGTTGCCATTGTGCTTTTGCATTACAGTACATCTGTTGACTACAGCCAGTATGTGAGTTACAGCTCTGCTCTGCTGACTCTACAGCTGATTGAGTGAATGTGTTTCTGTAGTTGTTCACTCTCTGAACCCCACAACTTGTGGGGCCAGTGGGTTTGATAGGCGTCTTGTCTCTTTAAAAATGGCATTTGTTTAGAGCTAGAAACAGTAAAGACATAAAGAATTGGCAGTACTTGAACTCATCATGTGTAACATACCATCCCTCATGAAGATTTATCAACTCTAAGCTCAAATCAAAGTATTTTTAATCAAAACTGCTTCATTCTAAATGTCCCATTTAAACATTTGCACAAAATGTGCCATTTGCACCAGATTCTATAAAAAACAGAAAATTCTGTGCTTCCTGCAAGACCAAGAAGCCAAATGACAGAATAAGAAGAAAATCACACAATAGCATAAATGCAGCATGGCTCAGAGACAGTGAACAGAGGAACCAGTAGTTATACATTCAGCACAGTGAAACATCTGCAGCTGATGTGCAGAGTAAAGGGAAAAGAGAGAAACTGTAAAAATAATGAAATTTCTGGAGCATGTGGAGCCACCATTTATTCCAGGATTGATGAACACTAGTGGACACTTGGGAAACTGTTGACTTATTTATTTATTTATTTTCTAATTTTCATTAAATAAATAAATTCAGCTTTATTTTTTTCCCCCTTTTTTCTGATTTCTTGCATTATAACTAGAATAATAGATTAGAATAGAACTTTATTGATCCCTTTGGTGGAAACCTCAGAGAAATGGTTGACTATGGTGAACTGCACAAAAGACATTTCTTAGTTCTCTGCTGCTGGTCATGGTTGTGCTGGACTTCATATTGCAGTGAAGAAAGAGCCACCAGTGAGTAAAAATGTGGCAGGAGACAAAATAAACATCCAGAAACTGCCTGGAGTTCAGTGGGTTCAAGGAAATTTGTGACTAAACAAGCAGCAGAATTGACACAAATGTTGTTTTTTTGTGAATATATATTAAAACACGGTTAAATTATGTCATGTTGTGATGGTGCACCTTCTGCATGGGTCATTCAGAAAATCTTTGAAGGGCTTTTCCTGTTACTCCGACGCAGAAAAACAGCCATTTACCTAAACCAGCTGTGCCCAGTTTCCAACCTTCTTTCCAGCTGCTGTTGTTGGAGGAAACAATTAAAGAGTGGAGTCTTCCATGTTTGAAAAACTGGAAACCTCCACCCTCCCACGCACCCTCCTGTAACATCTAATATAAATACATAATAAGCAGCATTCTGCTGACAACAAGAACAACTTCTCTGTTCTTTCCGTTGTAAGTTATAATGCCGCTCACATGTTTCCTTTCATATTGTGTGTCCCCGTTTTCATCTGATTGTTCTGGAGGTCTATTTTTAAGATAGCAATCTGGGAATGTTTACCATGTATGATTCTCTTTTTCCTGCCTCCTTTGTACTGTGTCAATACCTTTAATCATAATGGGGCAGTTGCCTGGAGATACAAAACCCAACGCAACAGTCCTCGTCGGGGCTGTTGGGTTTCTTTCCTTGTACAATAAATCACTGATGCTTAAGCTGATGCATTTACTGCATCTTCAGATTCCTTTCAGACAGGAGCTGGAGTTGAATGAACACATTAGACCTATTTTTTTCTCTGTTTTTTCAGTATGAGTTGAGTAAAAACAGCAGCAACAGTGCAGGTATGCTTGAATTCTGTTTTAAATTTCAGTTTTGGGACATCCCAACATACAGTAGGATGAGTTTTGCCCCAGTAACATTAAACTCTCTCTAAATACTATGTTAATACGATATATTTTATGATCCAAGGCGTTCTCTTCATGGACTGACATCATTTATAGACCTCAGAGGAAGAACTTATGATTTCTGAATCTTTACTCAAGCAGCACAATAATGTCAGTCTATCTCACTGTCTGCTTAATGGTTTAGCAGCTAATTTTGCACTTACATTCATAGTCCTCAGAGGATAAACCCTACTCCATCCACTTTGGTAATCTCCTGACCTTTCCTTAAGTGGCACCAGTAGGTCAGGTTTTTGAATTATAAACTAAAATACCTCAAAGATCATTGATTCATTGACATTCGTGGTCTTTAGAGGATGATCCATATCCCATCTATTGCAGCAGTATCCTGACCTTTCCTTTAGTGGCACCATCAGAAGATGAACCCTATTCCATCCGGACTTTTCCTCAACAGGCCAAACTTTTCACTCATCAAATCAAATGTCTAGATTTTTGCTTCATGGATTGGCAGCATTCATGTTCCTTAAAGGATGAACCACACTCCAACCACCTTAGTGACTTCCTAACCTTTCCTCTAGTGGTTCCAGAAGGTCAAAGTATCTCACTGCTTGCTGTATGGATTGGCAGCAGAATTTGTACAAACATTCATGGTCCTCAGAGGATGAAGCTTTCACTTTTACTCTGTTGCCCCCATGGATCTGCAATTTAGGTTTTCAATAAAATGTCTTAACTACTGTTGAATTGACTCATGAAATGTATGATAGACATTTAAGGCTGCAAGTTACATTTCCATGTTTGATTAATTTATTGATTTTCTTGATTATTGATTGAAACAAGTTGAGTAAAAACAGCATTATCAGTGCATGCACACACTCGGATTCTGTTTTAAAACTCAGTTTGGGGATATGTTGTGCCACAGAAACATTAAACTGTCTGTAAACACACAATAATGTTTCCATGCAGAAGTTTGCTGTTGTCCAACAGCAATGGCCCGAGACCTTTTTTTCTGGGTGGAGGTCAGAAAACTGTCAGAGAGCCAATAAAGGAAACGCCACGGGACCAAACTGGTCTAAGTCAGCAGGGGAAAAATGAATGTGGAAACTGGAATAGTGTCATGGTGCGATCACGGGCAGAGGAAGGATCAATCACAGCCAAACCACTGAGAGCATCCTCTACGCCCAAAACAAATGGGGTTTGAATCACCGCTATCTGACTGAGTGAACTGGGCTCCAGTCACAGACTCCACTTTCTCCTGGCCACAGCCAGCATCCCCACTGCCAGAGCATGGAGCTCACTCCATGAGGTCATAGAAATAACGTCCTATTAGCTTCCCATAATCCCCTCCTAAGTACCCTGATATGTAAGAAAGCAGAAAAACGCAGCGTCCAACTGGAAAACCAACAGTTACTGCTGCATTCACGCTGTAGGTTATCAGGCTGAGGTCAAACCTGTAGCTGCTGTCGTTCGTACATCGTAAGAGGTGCAGACATGCAGTCATCGGTACATCCTCAGTGGCACCATCCACGTACGCTACAAAGTTATCGTCATTTAAATCATTGCTGCTTTTTCTATACAGTCGTCCAACAGCTTTGGCCAAAGACCTTTTTTTTCTGGTGTTTCTTCGTGGACTTGCATCATTCAAAGATCTCAGAGGACGAACCTTTGTGATTTCCAAATCTTTCCTTCAGCATCACCAGAATGTCAGAATATCTCATTGTCTGCTTTCTGGATTGGCAGAAAGTTTTGTACATACATTCATAGCCCTCGGAGGATAAACCCCAGTCCATCTGCTTTGATAATCTCCTGACTTTTGTTTTGGTGACACCGAAAGGTCAAAATTTTCACTTATCAGCTGAAATATCTCAACAGTTGCTCCATGGTTTGGGAGCGTTTAAGGTCCTCAGAAGATGAACCCTATTGTATCTACTTAGGTGATCCCCTGATGTTTCCTCTAGGGACACCAGGAGTTCAGGGTTTTCAACTATCAAGTGAAATATCTCATCAATTGGATTATTCATTGGCGGCAATACAGATATTCATGGTTTTCAGAGGATGATCCCTGCCCCATCCACCTTAGTCTACTCAGGCAGCACATGCTTTTTATTGGTTGCTTATATTTAAAAACTGCAACTTGCAATCAATTTATTATAGATCATTTGTTTTGGTTGTTTTTAGCCAGACTAGTCAGTCCGGCACTGTGGCCCAAACTGAGATATCTCGACGACGACTGGACAGACTGCAGCCAGGTTTTTCCACACATTTATAGTCCTTAGAGGATAATCCCTACCCCATGTACCTTAGTGATTTCCTGACCCTTCCTCTAGCGCCACCAGCAGGTCAGAATTGTCACTGATCAGTAAAGTAGCTCAATGTATGCTTTATTGATTGGCACAATCAATAGTCCTCAGAGGATGATCCCTACC